CGCGATGCTAGAACAAAACAGTCACGAGAGATGGCAACCCATATCGTTCGCATCCAGATACCTAAACTCCGCCGAGCAGAAACACTCAACAACCATCTAGAATTACTAGCGGTGGTATGGGCCGTTGAACACTACAAAAACTACATTTACGGTCGAGTTTTACGGCAATTTCAGATCACAAAGCCTTACTTACATTATGAAATTCGTGTCCCCGAAAGGAAACAAAACTTTTTTCCCTCGACTAACACGATGGTTTGTCCGACTGTTACCGTATGATTTTAAAGTAGAATACCGCCAAGAATCAGAAACGGGAATGGTCGATCACTTATCAAGATACCCGTCAGCAAAAGCGCCCCCTACAAGTCGGTACGACTCAACGTTCACCGTAGCGAAAAAAAAACATGATAAATAAAGCACTTAATCTGCACAAAGAAAAAAGAAGGGAAACAGAACTCATATATAGCACAGGAAAATGTCAATCGATAGAGGGCGAAAGTTCATGTAACTACATCTCAGCCAATGGCAGTGATAAATCAAGTGAATACTCAAATGCACAAAGAGCTAAAAGCGTGCCGTCCGAGGGCGAAAGTCATGCGAGAAAATGCTAGCCAATGGCGATCAAGATATTTGCATAACGCGTGAGATATGCACAAACGGAAAACAAAAAACAGATTTCGTTCTCAATGGTTACACTCAAGTTACTTATTTTCTCATCTATCAAAATTTTCACATCAATCTCATAATTTTTTCGAAAAATTTTTTCAAGGTTATTTCACAAAACTCTCCAACGTCAACACCAGATAAGCTAGATATCACCACGGCAATTGTAAATTCCTCAACTCAGTCAGGCAACGTAAATCTAAACCTAGTACTTAACAATCTAAATAACCCTACAACAACTCTAAGCTCAAGTAGTTCCGACGCAGACAGAAATAAGCTCGCCGCATGATCAATTACCCCAATACGATACAGCATCAAAGAAACTAAATACCATCATCTCTTTTTCGTCAAAATTTCCTGGCCTTTCTTAGCCTCTCGTTAACACGGAAAAGTGGATTTACTCTATTATACTAGCGGATAGCAAAAAGGTGAACACCCAGAAGTACTATGTCTCAACACCCTGGAGGCAAATATCGAGGAAGACCCAACACTTAAAATCATCGGGGATGCCATAAGAAACAAAACCCGAAGGTGAAGGAGATAATCACGAATTTAGGACAAAACTATGGGCAACACTACGGAGATTTCGCAGTGAACAAGAACTGTCTATGGATGGATGGCAGACTGGCGACACCAAAGGCATTAGCAACTCCAATCATGAACCGTCTTCATTATTACCATCATGGCAGAGACAAAACGTACGCCGCATCCAAGGATATCTGGATGCCAATGATGCACCGCAATTTGATGGCAACAGGGAAATTTTGCAAACAATGTCTCGCAGCAGGTAAAAATCTGAAACCAGATATAGCTAAGGGTAACCTAGGAAAACTTACGTTTCGACAGAACCCAACGAAGTAGTTCAATAGGATTATTGGGGGCCAGTTAATTAAGTGAAAGGACGAAAAAAGTACGCACTGGTTGACGTTGACGTCTTTTCGCAGTGGCCGTCGGCCTCTGTTTGCTCAAGAAAAAACTCAAATGTTTTAAGACTCTTGAAAAAGTACAGAGACACGCACGGGCACCCTCGAAAACTGCATACGGACCAAGCCTCTGGGTTTTTCTCTCAAAAAATACGAAGATTTTGCGAAAAGGAAAATATTGAACTGTTAAAATTGCCGGTTAGAGATCATCGGGCAACCGGTATGATAGAAAGAACAATCGGTTCGCTAAAAAATTACGTTATAACCTACCCAAGGGAACAAGCAGAACAAAGATTCAAACCACTAACACTCAGAGCACTGAGCGCTTTGTTCCTAACAGTGAAACATCCTTAACGCCTTCCGAAGCCCTTCATGGGAGAAGCGAAAACAGTCTTAAGAAATCCAGTAAAACGTCCAAGTTTGAAAAATCTCAATTAGAATAAAATCGTAAACAAAAACTGTCTGCTTTAGACGAAAAGGGTGGACGGCCTAATGACGAACCCTTCCGGATGGTGGATTGGGAGAAAAGGAGTGACACACGGGTAGAGCCTGAGTACCGAAGTGGGCCACGAATCCTGGACGAACAGGAACTGGCTGAGGCAGAAAGGGAATTGAGCCACCCAAAAGCGCCACCAGTGCTGCGGCACAAATCGGCAAAACAGAGTAGATACACAGAGTACCAACAAACAGGAGTAACGGACCCGAATCACCCAACAAGGTACGAAAAATTGAATAAAAAAATTGTAAAATTAATGCCGCATAAAGTCAAAATGAAAAAAGGCTATCTATTACGGAGAAGTGGTGTCGCGTTTAGATACGAGCAGCAAGGAGAAAAAGAGGTGACAGGACCATCTTTTAGTACGAACCGGGGGACAGTGACACAAGATAAAGTGGCGCAAAAAGAAGCCGGCGGTTTGCCTATCAGGGCGGACAAGCCATCGGCGCATAAGGAACGACGGGAGCGTGCCGGACGCATAAAAAGGACGACGATGGCAGTGCAGGGAAAAAGCAACGCATCGAAGAGTCAAGCAGCGATTCCGAGGACGAGGCGTACGAAAATCCAATGGAGACTGAAAAAAGTAAGGAGACGGGGGGAGGCGAATCAACGGCGAGAAGAGCAAGGGGATCTGACAGAGATATCGCGAGAGAAAGAACTCTAGACGTAAATGCCAGTGACGACACGCCACCACGATGACGAGGTTCGACACGAGCCAGAAAAGCGGTCACACAATTATGAGGAGTCATGATCAGACGCCTGCAGGACGGGAAAGAGAGTCAAAATTAGCGAAAAAAGGGAAAGGAGTCAAAAAGTGAAAAGCCTTGGAAACTCGTTAAAAGGAACTGTGAGAAAAAACTAAATTACTACTATATTTACATTACAGATGTGTAACCGGAGTTTGAGTTCAGTAAAATTTAAATATTGTTTAAATTTTGTGGGTGACCCTATGTCATAGGGACAACTTCAATTTACATAGTTCATGAAAGTTTGGTTCAATGTCCTTGAATGTCTGGCCACAAGTCTTGGTACTAATCACTGTTCTACATCTGGATACGCCTGAAACAATAAGTGCAAATTGCCTTAGATTGATATATGATACACTTGATCTTGATTTCATTTACTTTCTAAACACTGATACCTTTTTCTACTTCAACATTGCACAGCAACCGGCAATCCATGTTACTTTAAGAAATTGCGTAATGCAGCAAAATCATTATAGTTTGCCGCTGTAGCTAAATAATTTGACCGATCGAATCCTGTTAGTTTTACAGAGCGATTTTGAATCCTGCGATCAGTTCAAAACAATTATTTAAAATATCCAATTACATTCTTGATAACTATCACTGTAAAATACTTCGAACTAACCAATCATGATCCATGACTAAAACTTACAAGAACTTGTAAGACAGAAACTGTTTATAGTTTCAGCCGGAGAAGAATAAATTTAACTCAGCACACAGTTGCTCTTCCTCGACTCTAACCTCGCAAGAATACTAGTATGCACTAGATCTATTGACTAGGAAATATAAGAGCGAGGTTAGGATCGGTATTAGACTTAGAAGTTGCACGATTCTATCCGCCCGAAAAAAATAGCGTGACGAACAGACGTTGTTCCTTATCCAAAATTACTCTTTGAGAAAGCCACCCAACCCGGACTTAAACTCAATACACCAAGAAATTTTTCAAGAAGATCAGTCATGACTAGCTTTACGAAATTATGCTGGTTTTATGCATTTAGACACAACACACTTTTATTTCTCGCCATTCTTTTTGAGGAAAAGAGACATATTTAAGCAGGGGCGGATTTAGGGGGCGGGAAATCAGGGATTCGACCCCCTGCCGACCCAAAGGGTCCCCTTTGGTAGTTTTTAAAAAATCCATTTTTGGCCGACCGACCCTAAAAACTTTCTAAGGGCGCCTTTGGCGCCAATTTACACTAATTTTGAGGGGGAGCGCGCGCCGAAAAAACTCGATTTTTTGGTCAAAATTTTCCAAAAACTGCATAAAAACGCCTTTTTGGAATTTTTTCAAAATTTTGCCTGCGGCGCACAAAATTTGCCCAAAACAGGGACTAAACCGTGCTTAAGCAGAGCTCGAAAAATATTAGGCAGAGCTCGAAAAATAAATTCGGTCGACCTAACAAAAAGGTTGACAAAATTTTCGAAAAATTTTTGAAAATCCGCCCCTCCCCTCGAGAAAATCCTAGATCCACCCCTTTATTTAAGTGTCGAGACATGTGCTGGCACATGACAAAAAATTTTATCCCATACGATGTGCATTCCGTTATGTGAAAAGACTTCAATGATTCGTTGATTTTCAGTTACAATGAAAGCGAAAAAAAAACCATTTTCTTTAAACTTTGCATTGTAGCTTTAATCAAAACCGGAGTGGCTTCAATATTATATATCCGAGGACACCATCAGACGCTTATTTTTGAATTTGCATTTGCGTGAGAAAATCACTATGAAAAGAAAGAAACGACTCGTGGACATCGGAAAAGGGGCTACCTATAGCACGCCAGTGTAGACATCTCCGAATTGTCAATGATTCAAATGCTTTAGATTCCGGAATTACCAAACGACACGGAAGCTAAAACTTCATATTTTCTGAAGCACTCGTCCAAACCAGGTCAATTAAGCAAGAAAAAAACGGTAGATTCCACATCCATCTGCAAAACTAATGCCTGATTATCAAAGCCTTTATTCAAAGAAAGTTGTTTATCATTTGTAAGCCACTATCTTTGTTTCTTCAAAAAGTAGCTCAGACGTAAAATATGCATAATAGTTGCTCATTGCGAGATTGAAAACCAAGTTGTGCGAATGCTATTAGTTTTTGATCTCTTTAATTTGACCTTTGAAGAGAGAAAATACCCATCGCAAATGAAAGTTGCAAACAAATTTACACGGAATATACACGACTAAAAATTAAAAAAGTGAATTCACTTCAATAAGCCCATATTTGGCGACGGGGAACAAACGAGATAATAAACAAAGACCAAATTATTGCACTACTGCACACAAATAATCCACAAAACTATTAATAGAAAAAGAACTAGGTTTATGAGATTGGAGACAAATTCCGAAAGTTTGATTTCATTTCAAATTGAAACAATTTCTACTATTGAAGCATTACGCGTCGCACACTTCATTATCAATTGAGGGTTAGAGTAGAAGCGAAAGAATAGGAAAATATATAATCGATCATTAGGTTGACACTTTATATATTCTTTTGTCTGTGATCATCAGTTGATTTTGTTCCTCCATTTCCAGCAAGTAGTCCGCAATTTCATTCTCTTCGTACTCAGGGTAGCTCTGCTGAAAATCGAGTGTGACTGTGTCGATGGCAATATCTTGTAGTTGGTACTTATCAAAAACTGCGTTCAGACACTTCATGAATTTCTTGAACCTCGCGTCACTCCCTTTCTTGCTAGGCGATATTTGAAGCTGTTGTTGTACCACAGGTTTTTTGGAGTTACGCGGTTGGCTTTTGGCTTTCGGGACCTTTTTAGCGTTTTCTTTATCTGGATGTTTCTCTAAAGACAGAAGTTTAAATGGCAAAATTCCATTTATTGAACTTAAATAACACTGGAACCAGTTTAAAACTAGTATTTATATCCACTACAATATACATCTCTACAAAATATTTCTTACTAACCAATCACGATCCATAACTAACACTTATAATAATTTGTAAGGCTGAAACTATTTATAGTTTCAGCCAAAAACAGAACTAATTTAACTTAGCAAGTAGTTGCTCTTCTCTAGAACAGTTACTGATATCTTATTTCGCAAATACCAGTATACTCTAGATCTAAGGAGACTAGGATATATAAGAGTAAGATTAAGACCGGTATTAGACTGAGAAGTTGCATGAATCTATCCGGCCAGAAAAAAAAGCGTGACGAACAGACGGTGTCTGAAATTACTCTATGAGTGAGCCACCCCGGAAAAAAAGTCATCTGGTGCGGTCAAGAGTCTCGAACAAGGCCTCAACAAATTTAGATTTTGCAAATTCAAAACAGACATAAGATCTAAGATCCAAACACATAACACAAAAAGTTAAGAAGTATTGAAAATTTAGTGCAATAATTTAGTGCAGTAGTGCAATAATTTGGCCTTTGTTTATTATCTCGTTTGTTCCCCGTCGCCAAATATTGGCTTATTGAAGTGAAATCACTTTTTTAATTTTGAGTCGCGTATATTCCGTGTAAATTTGTTTGAAATTTTCATTTGCGATGGGTATTTTCTCTCTTCAAAGGTCAAATTAAAGAGATTATAAACTAATAGCATTCGCACGACTTGGTTTTCAATCTCGCAATGAGCAACTATTATGCATATTTTACGTCTGAGCTACTTTTTGAAGAAACAAAGATAGTGGCTTACAAATGATAAACAACTTTCTTTGAATAAAGGCTTTGATAACCAGGCATTAATTTTGCAGATGGATAAGGAATCTAACGTTTTTTTCTTGCTTAAATGAGTTGGTTTGGACGAGTGCTTCAGAAATGGACATTATAAGATTTTAAGGTTGAACTACTACAAAAAACTAAAAGAGTGGTGGACAGATGTTGATGGAGGTTGCATTAGTTTTAACTTGTAAAGAAACATAGAGAGTTCAATAATTTTGTTAAGATGGAGAGGTGATTTCAGAAAAGAAGAGTACTGCCAGACTTATCGACAATGTTTTTATTTAGAAGAGTAAATTCAGATTGAGTGGTCGGTCAGTAAAAAACAAAAAATGGAAGAGCCTATAAAACAGAAATTGAAGATAAGGAACATCATTTCGATTATCCAAATTTAAAAGACTTCCAGTTGTTTATATTTTAATATACCAAAAAGAAAGTGATAAAGTTGTATAATTTGGTAATTTCTTTTTCACTGGTTAGAAATAGAACAAATCGAAAAAATTTTGACTGAAATTTCAAAATTTGAGTTGACTATCGAAAAAATAGTATTAACCAGACAAGAAACTTCACTTTGGTGTCAATTGTATATGTTAGTATCTTAAAAAATTTAATAAAACTGATTGATTGAGAAGTTTCATAAACAAAGTTTGGTTCTGATCTACTAAGTACTTTAAAACCTGTGAATATTTCATTCTGATTGGTTATTACCACAAATATTACCTTTAAAGGAAAGCTCAATTGTTTGATATTAAAATTATTGAAAAATCCATGTGAAATAGAGCTCAATTCTGATTGGTTGACATTAAATTTGTTGAACATTCCATGACCATTGAAGCTCGATTCTGATTGGTTGATATCAAAAAAGATAAAAATTTCCTTATGAGTAATGCTCGATTCTGATTGTTTGATACTTTTGAAACTCCATGGTTGGATTGGATGATTTTTATTTCAGCTAAGCTAATAAGCATATCCATTCTGATTCTCTTTCACGTTAAAATCAATTGGTTAAGAAAGTTGCTGGTTTTATTCACTTTTACTCATTTTTCGAGGCTATTCAACTCACTCTTCTTATCTAAAAATTTGGGACTTACTGAAACTCCTATTTATTCTTTCTTCACTTATTGAGATGCCGTTACTGACCAGAAACGAAAGAGTTGAATGTCTTGAATGTGGCAGAGATTACACTCGCTCAGACTAATCAAGACATCGTAAGCATTGTCGCGTTCTAAAGTGTTCCAATTGTAACTTTTATACATATAGCAGCGAGGAACTCACTAATCATATGAAGAAGAAGCATTATTCTTGTCAACATCATGATAAATTATGTGCTCAGCAGTCTCGAAAAACACTCCAAGAGAAGGTTAAATTAATACATTTTTAATAAAAAACCTAGGAGAAAATACTTTGAATAACAATTTTTACTGAATCTGAAAAGTCTATACAAAAAATTTGAAAAACAATCTAGTAAAAATTATACAATGTTTTCATCACTATTCTTGATATGTCATTTTTTTATTCAAAGGTTATGACTGATGATAAAACCAGCAACAATCGAGTTCAAATTTTCGTGAAAAATTCAATGGAAATCGATCCGAAAATCTTTTATCTACAGTAAAAACTCCATTGGTTGCAAGCTTGCGGAGATATTGTTGCGATAACTTTGTAGTAAAAGAGAATAACATATACTAAAGATTGCTTAAGTATTTGTTGATGAAATTTTGTGAAAAAAAAAACTGGATATTAATAAAATATCGACTAATTGAAAGGTTTTCCCTAGTTACTATATTAAAGTTTTCCTTGTTTAGTGCTTGTAGAAGTATTCATGGAGTAGTAAACTTTTAAGCAGATAATGAGGGTTGATTTATTCAGAATTATGGTGTACTACTAGTTCGTAAAAAACTCATAACTGACCTAGAAAAGATTAAAAAAATAAATATGTTCTTGCTAAAAATATATATGTTCTTGCTAACTTTTGAAAACTTCAATTTAAAAATATACATTCTCAACCAAAAATTTACTTCAATATAGAAATTCAGAGTTGAGACAGCAATATACAGGTATCCGGTTGAGAAAACCATTTGAAGTTTTTTAGAAAAAGATTTATGGTATTAATTCTGCTTCGGATTGATGAACGTTCGTTGAAATGATACATTTTTTCATCTAAAACTCAATTTTCAAGTAAAGTTTTTTTGAAATTGGACTAAGTTGCAAGATAGTAGATGAAGCAGAAACTAAGAAAATATCAATTTGACATAGAAACTCAATTTAGTTCATTAGGATTTTAGAGAATTTTATTCAAATTTAGCTTATAAATTACATCTTGAGACAAAATCCAACATAAAATAGTGGAATGTTTGGAAAACTTTCTATCATTTGATATACTAGATTAGCTTATATGAAAATTCAGATTTTTTGAGAATAATTTTTGTGAAGTAAGCCCAACTCCGGCATCTCTTGGAAGATGATACATGGAGCATAAATTGCTTTCGAGATCTACATTTCATTATTTTGGATTTTAAAAAAATTGATGAAGAAAGATTTAGAGATAATTGATGAAGAGAGATAATATCAAGCTTGCTGAAATTTTCTATACAAATTAAAACTTTAGCAGACTCGGATGTTGATTATATGAATTTTAACAAGAAAAATTTCAATTAGACACACAGTAAAGAGTTCTGGTCAGCTTCAATTTTTTTCAATTAGAAAGTTACGTAGAACTATAGTTTTTGCGTAAAAAAACTTTGCATAGTTATTCAATTGTTACAGTTTGCACCTTGATTTCCTTTCATTAATCGATTTTTTTGAGGACAAATCTTTTAGAAGTTCATAAATGTTGCAGAAATATGGAACGAAGTTCCCTTGCGTATTTCTACTTCCGTAGGTTTTGCAGATTATAAACAATAGAGCTTAATTTATTCTAAGAAACCACGGTAAAACTACAATTTTATATTCTCACTCATTTTTTCATGGGCTTTCGAATGCTTAAAATAGCACTGATTCTTTTTCACTTGGACATTTTTAAGAAAACTTCCGACAAAAATCAAGAACAAAAAGCGATTTAATAAAATAATTGCAAGAAAGGTGATAGTTGATGGTACCAAAAGTTGTATTTTTGCTGACATAGCTTGCAGTAGCAACTAAACAAGGGAACCTAAAGGAAAACCTGTAATTTTCCCAAAAACTTGAAATTTTTGCAATCTTTTCCAAAAATCTGACTTTTTTTTCGAAGTTTCAGTAGGTTTCAGCATAGTTTCAAATAAATTGAGTACTGTTTCAAAAAATAAGATAATCTAATAAAATAGGTAATAAGTCAAACTAAATCAAATCATATCGTGTTTTCCAATTTTTTGCACATCTTACCATTGACTTATCATGAACCAAAAAACATAATACCTTCATTACACAATCTACACGTAATACTCGAAAAATTGCATAATGCGTGCCGAGTTTTTCGCGAAAAAACTAGACATTTCCACACCAAATCCAAAAAAACACCCGTTTTTCTTACCATTCTCTTACCATCACACTGAAACCTTACCATTCCCTCTCTTAAAACATTGGGAAAACTATTCCGTATGTTAATACAGGGAATTTCTAACCCCTATACATAGGACTATGTATAAACTACCCTAATACATGGGAAAAGATATATGTAAGCATATGAGAGAAAACATGTGAATTATCATATTTTGAGTTGTGTACTTTACGAACTCTTTCCAGAAAAGCTGAACAGATTAATTGTGTGGAAGCTAGTTATTGGTTAGAACATAAATCGTGACGTTTGAATTTTTTACGTAAGTCCTTTCTTTGCAACTCTTGGAATTTTTTCTACTCCTTTCCATTTCAAATTGTGATGAACAGCGCGGTCAAGTTGATTGAAAATTTCGCCAGTTGATGAAATAACATTCGAATAAAATCTGTATTTGTTAGGGTGTAAAGACAATCGATAAATTGGTATAAGAAATGAAAATTACCCAATCATTGTAAAACTTTATCGAAAGATGAACCAATCAGAAGTATGTGGAACCTACAGTTTTCCAAAGAACAATAAGAATTGTGGGTAGACACAAAATACTCTTGGGTTACTATATATTTTTCGTTAAAATCACTGTATACGGAAATAAAAA